AAGGCTTCCAAAAAGCACTCGCCAAAAAAAAAACCGCTCCGGTTTCTTTCCACCCGCCGGGAGCCGGGGAGAGGGGCGCGCGGGTCCCGCCGGGCCGGGGCTTGTATCTTACAACCTTCGCAAGGCACTGGGTTCTTGCAGGTGTGGATGTGGTCTGGATGTTGTCCTGTGTCCTCTGGTCTCTATTTTAGGAAGAATTTTCTTTGTTATATTTTCATAGCTCTATGTGTTTTTGGGAGGAGATTTCCACTGCTCTACTCACGCCGCCATCCTGATTCCGCCCCCCCCAACCCCTCTTTTGTAAGGTTCCACCATCAACCTTCCAACTGACAATTTCATCCACAGATGAGTTTTGCCTGAATCAGTTATCTCATGAGGGGTTATGACATGTTGTTTTTTAAATCTATCATTTTGTCCTCATTTATCAGCTGGAATAGTTCTCTAAAAAAAGAACTTTCCTTCATCAAGACTGTTGGGTTCCCCTAAAGCACAGTTTGCATGAGAAAGGCAGGATAAATTCTAAATTCTCCCCCTTTAATTGCCAATTCTTTGAGTAAACTGATATAATACTTTGCCTTGGCCAATAAACCACACTGTTGCCACACAAAGAGACAGAGGCAGAATCTCTGGGCCTGCAGGAGGAGGTGGCTGGTGGGGGGAGGGTACATTGAGGGAAGAAGGACTGAGAGAGAAAAGTACAGGTGGTGTGGCTGTGGGGGTTTGCTTTTCTAACATCACCAAATACATATGCCGCAAAGAATGATGGGGGTGGCATCTGCAGTACACGGACATCTGCTAATCCACCGAAAACTGCACATCTGACGACATCTTGCTGGCAACTGTGTTTAGCAGAAAGCAACGGAAAGAAAGGAAATAATACCATGAATTTCTGACCCATAAGCTACTGCGTCCTGAAACAGACATGGCAGGAGGCTTGCGAGGAAGTGACCATGTTCTTTCTTCATGGCCAAGAATCCTCTGCTAAGAGAGATCTTGAAGGAAAGGCCTCCTTCCCAGGAGGGGTAGGGTGGAGCTCACCGTAAAGCCCTGCCCACCTCCTACTCAACCTACCAGTTCAGTAGCTCTAGAATCAGCCCAGGACTTGACATTGTGAATAGGAACAGCAGGAGAGTCAAGTGCTGGAGGCCTTGGACTGTACTTGCAGAAACTTGCTTTAGACATTCATCCTTGACTTAGGGAGAATAGATTTCAAAACTGAAAAAAGATCTCAAAAGAAACTCAACAGGAAGAATTCATGTCTAGAGAAACCAATAACCAAAAGCGCAGGAGGGACCAAACCTAAACATCTTAAATGCCTGCCACAGAGCACATGGTGGGTGCCCAATGCCAGAGGAAAGGCAGGTCCAGGATGGGGAAGGAGCTGGGTCAATGGCTCTCAGAGGGTGCTCCCAGGTGGGTGGCAGCACTCCCTGGGAACAAGTTAGAAATGCTGGCCCTCCCCTCTAGCCCCACCCCATACTAGACCTACAAGACCTACCCAAGTAGATGCTTTAGGGGTAGGGCCCAGCAATTAGTGTGCTAACAAACCTGCCAGGGGGTTCTGTTGCATATTCAAGATTGAAAACCAGGGTTAAAAAATGTCTGGGGTGCAGAAGAGGTGAACTTTTTGTTTCTTGGCTTTTTTCTTTTAATATAAAGGGGAAATTGGGAGGAGTGGCAGGGGACTGAAAGGGGAAAGAATAGTGCTTATTTGTATAAAGGGGACAGGGGACTTTGAAGACTAGAGCCTGGTGAGTGCCGCCAGGACTAGCAGCCAAATTCTATCTAGCCTGGAGCCGCAGCAGTACCAGATCTTAGCTCAGGGCCTTCTCCCCTCACACTCTTCTCCCCCAGCCCCCTGGCTCAGACTGAACCTGGTGTGAGCCCTCTCTCCCTGTAATATAGGCAGCCTTCAAACAGTGCAAAGAGATCACAACCACAAATTCTGAGCAGCAAATACCAGGGACCAGGGACCAGGTACGCTTTTCACAATTCAGTCCCCACAACCAGAAGTCATTACCAGGAAGGAGCAGGATTTCAGTCTTGCTCAAAAAAGGATTAGGAAGAAACATGTAAGACAAGATCTTACACTTCTTTTTGACAAAAGAAAAACAAACTTAAAAACACTCAAGTTACCACAATGAAAGGATAGGTCTTCCCTTTCCTAATATTTTGGATGCAATACTTGGGCCTGAGAAGCCCTGGATGTTAAATCAGAGTGTTAAATCAGAGTGTTTACCTTGATTTAAATCAAGGTAAAAAATATTTTAATATTTAATATTTACTAAATATTTAATACTGAACTATTTTAAAACATCAAATTGGCAAACTACAGCTCACAGGCTGGCTGCCTCTCTTTGTAAATAAAGTACAAAAGGCTACATTTCCAGTGAGTGAACAGACCTCCATCTTTGTTCTGGATGGAGCAAAGAAGAAAAAAGATGAAAAAGAAAAGTACCTGGAAAATTCTTAACCAAAGTTTACACTCCTGTGGGGTTAGGGCCAGAAGTCACATTTCTTGTAGCCTCCAAATCTGTAAGCCACAGGTTCAGCAGTACCAGATTTTAAGCTTTCTGTACATATTATATTTTTTTTGAATATAGATTCTGTATATATTATATACTTCACAACAAACAAAACAGGTGGAAAAAATAATAAGTGGAGACTTCTGGGTAACTAGGCAACAATAGAGCCACAAGAAAGGTGGTGCCCAGAATGAATGATCTCAGCCTGCACCAAGAGAGGGTGAGGTTGGAGGGAGGGGTAAAGACACTGAATCAGCTCTGTGCTTCAGTATCTTAAGCCCCACTAATTTTGCTAAATTTAAAGGACTTGTGTTGTTCAACCTCCATCAAGTTTGGTTCTGCTATTTTTATTCCCTGGAGGTGTTGAAATGCCCTTGCTGTTGGAGGTGGGAGTCTGGTAGAGAGCAACACCCAGGAACTAACATGGGGTCACTAGGATGTCACGCCAACTGCAGAGGCAGCTCCTTGGCCACAGTTCTAAAAGCAGAGATCAGAGGAAGGCCAGTGTCTCAGCAAGTCTGGTTCTCAGCAAGGCATTTGATAAGGTCAAAGGGACCACAGGGACATTTCCTGGACCTATGTATACAAGAGGGTTTTTTTCATTTTCTATGGCAGCAAAATTCACTTGCCACCATTGGAGGGGACTTTTACACTGACTCCTTATGCACACAATACTGTAAATGAATCATTAATCCTACCTTTGCTGTAGAACAAGTGATTCAGGTTAGGTAAAGTACCAGTTGATGAGTTATACTTTACAGAAGAATGTCAGCAAATAACTGTAGAAGGAATAACCAAATTGGAAAGTCATCACTTTGCAAACTTGAAATAACTCAAGTGAAGGAGTTCATAACATGTCACACCAAAACATACTTCTCTGGAATGTTATTTTGAGTTAAAGCACTTGAGAAACAGCCAGTGAAAGGAGCTCACTTTGACCCTCCTTTTTCTTCCTGAAAGCAGGAGACAAAGCCTAGGGTGAAAGGTGTCCTCCCTGTACCAGGAGAAAGGAAGATACTGCTATTTTCAAGGAAGATAAGTTGAGACAAAGAAAACTCTATACATAAACAGACTTTGTTAAAATAGTTGTGATTTTCTTTAGCCTCCCCATATAGCTTAGTCACTCTTCTGCAATTGCCTCTGTTCAACTGAACATAAAACATTCAGTATTTCTTTGCATCATTTCCTTATAATAGTTCTTGTGTCCCATAAAACTTAAATGTGTATGCTTTTCTGCTGTTCATCTGTCTGTCGGGTTAATTTTCAGACCTAGCCAGGGACCTAAGAGGGTTAAGGAAAACTTTTTCTACTCCTACACAAAGATCATCAATGGATGCTAAATTATTAGGTTAAAGGTTGATGAACTGGATATTCATTCACATGTAGGGAAAGTATCTCTACAATAGAGATCTGGGAGGAGGCAGGGGTTTAACACTTTAACCAAGTGCTCAAACTGAAATTAAATAGGACAAGTAGACATTATGATCCCCCTGACATGAGGCCCTGTGACATACATAGCACTTGGTAGACTGAAAATGATTTCCTAAAAGATAGCCATATCCTAATCCTTGGCACCTGAATGTTACCTTATGTAGGGAAAAAGGAGGTCTTTGAAGAAGAGATTAAATTAAGGCTTTTGAGATGGGGAGATTCTCCTGGGTTATCCAGGTGGGCCCTAAATGCAATCACATATGGCCTTATAAAAGGGGGATAGAAGATTGGCATACACAGTGAAGAGGAGGTAACATGACTCAACAGCAGAGGATGGAGCAAGGTGACCACATGTCAGCAATGCCAGATGCCACCAGAAGCTGGAAGGGACAAGGAATGGATTCTCTCCTAGTACAGCTACAGGGGCTTTTTGGCCCAGTGAAACTTCTCCACTTCCGGCATCAGGAATTGCCACGTGACAAACATCTGTTGTTTTAAAACACCAAGTTTGTAGCAATTTTTTACAATAGCCACAGGTAAGTAATACAGTGTCATTCATGAAATAGTCTTGCCCAAACTATGTAACCAGAATCTAATTAGGCCTGTAGGTATAACTCCAGTTTTTTTCTGTTGACAGATAGGAACTGCACTAGTTAGGGTAAAAACTGAATAATGTGTGTAACTGTTTAATCACTCTGCTGTATACTTGAAACCAATATATATAAACTATACTTCAAATAAAAAATGCTGAAGACTGAGGAAAAAGTTAAAAACATGAGTTTGACGAAGCCAACATATGGAACATTCTGCAACTGGCCTAGTCTCTTCAGAAGAGCAGTATCATATGGGGGAGAGGTTGGGGTGGAGAGGGGGAGGGGGATAAAGGGGCACAAAAATTCTCAATAATGTAACTGTCACAGGAGTAGTAGCACAGCATAGAGAATATAGCCAATGATTCTGTAACATCTTCCTATGTTGACAGTAACTGTACCAGTGGGGGTGAGGATTTAATAATATGGGTAGCTGTTGAACCACTGTGTTGTATACCTGAAACTAATATAAGATTGTATCAATAAATAAAGGGCAGTATCACAAAAACAAGGAGGTTGTCCTAGAATCAAAAGACCAATAGGATGTAATAGTAAAATGAAGGGCTTGATCCTCAATTGGATACCGGCTCTTTTTAAAAAACAAGCACCACGGTGAAAAAGAAAGGGGGTATTACAATTAGCAGGTATAATGTGTAGAGGGGTGGTGCACGGGGAGGGCCGAACAACAGAGAAGACAAATAGTGATTCTACAGCATCTTACTACGCTGATGGACAGAGACTGTAATGGGGTTTGTGAGGGGGACTTGGTGAAGGGGAAAGCCTAGTAAACATAATATTCATGTAATTGTAGATTAATGATACCAAAATAAAATAAAACAAGCACCATAAAAGTTTAGGAAGTTTAAATTTTTTAAATAAAATTAAGCATTAATATCAAGAATTCCTATTCATGGTATGCTAATAGTATTGTGGTAAGTAGGTTAATGTCCTCATATTGTAGACATGCATGTTGACTTCGTGATAAAATGTTCTCTGTAATTCACTTTGAAATGAGCCTGCCAAATGTTATATATACACACACATATAACTTACATTTTGTCATATTTTCAAATCCGGAAAAATGTTGACAGTTTTTGGATTTAAGTGGTGGGGATATGGGTGCTCTTTATACTATTTTCCGTTTTGTTTCATAATAAGCTTGAAGTCATTTTTCAAGAGTTGCTCAACCTCCTTTAGAAACCAACCCATGGTGAAGCACAGCCAATTCTTGTGTGCTGCTAGGAAATGGCAGGCCTCTTGATGTGGGAGTAACTTCCGTTGTTGCCAGGCCGTTAGGGACAGCTCCCCAAGGCAGTTCACTACCTAGTATTGGCTTTTAACTGGGGATTACTGGCTGACATCTGTCTTCATTACATTCTTTGGAATTTAAAGGTTTAAGGACAGGCAAAGGCCTGCCTAGAATGTGACACACTTCTACCTGAGGTTCACCTGTCTGGAGACAATAACAATGAACAATTTTAAGAGTCAGCAAATACTTTAACCCTTAGGATAATCTGTTCCTTCACTCTTTGGGAGATAATACAACAATCAAAAGATAATCATGGTAAAGTAGGATGTTAATAGATGAAGTACTACAATAACCAGACTAACAGATGGCTTTGAGCTGCTCAAAGCTGGGTGACCCCACTTGCCAGTGCAGCAGCAGTGATGACCCAGGAAGGCAAGGACAGCAACAACACTGCCAGAGGTTGGAACATCTGCTTTCATCCTTGATGTTATCCTTCTCATAGTACTGCATTTTCACTGCTCCACATATTTCTTCCCGTAATTCACTAATTCTCTATTCAGTTGGGTTTATTTGGCCCGTTTATTGTACTTCTTGAATTTCTGTATTTCATGTTGTTCTAAATCCACCTAATCTTTTTTGATGCTGTCATGCCCAGTGCATCAAATTCTTTCCTCCCTAGACACATCTTCAAACTCTAGCATGCTGTTACCTGAGTTTCTAAGCTGTAGTCACCTGTTATACCTGTGGACTTGTTCCCATGGGAGTGTCTGGCCCTGTTTTTGATTCCAGCTCATCTTGGCTCTCCCAAGAGTGCTCCATCTGAGCTTGAGTCTACAGGTGTCCCTGTAGGATGACTTAGCTTTTGCTTTGGGGATTCACAGGTTCCAAACCATGTTAATAGTTCAGATGTACAAAAATATGAAAAATACAAGGCACTTATGGATCCCCCGTGTCCACCTCTGACTGCATCACTCTCCCTACCCACCTCCTTATAATAGCCCAGGGAACTGTCTTGAATGTAGCAATTAGCAATCCTGTAATGTTGTATACCTGAAACTAATATAAGATTGTATCAATAAATAAAGGGCAGTATCACAAAAACAAGGAGGTTGTCCTAGAATCAAAAGACCAATAGGATGTAATAGTAAAATGAAGGGCTTGATCCTCAATTGGATACCGGCTCTTTTTAAAAAACAAGCACCACGGTGAAAAAGAAAGGGGGTATTACAATTAGCAGGTATAATGTGTAGAGGGGTGGTGCACGGGGAGGGCCGAACAACAGAGAAGACAAATAGTGATTCTACAGCATCTTACTACGCTGATGGACAGAGACTGTAATGGGGTTTGTGAGGGGGACTTGGTGAAGGGGAAAGCCTAGTAAACATAATATTCATGTAATTGTAGATTAATGATACCAAAATAAAATAAAACAAGCACCATAAAAGTTTAGGAAGTTTAAATTTTTTAAATAAAATTAAGCATTAATATCAAGAATTCCTATTCATGGTATGCTAATAGTATTGTGGTAAGTAGGTTAATGTCCTCATATTGTAGACATGCATGTTGACTTCGTGATAAAATGTTCTCTGTAATTCACTTTGAAATGAGCCTGCCAAATGTTATATATACACACACATATAACTTACATTTTGTCATATTTTCAAATCCGGAAAAATGTTGACAGTTTTTGGATTTAAGTGGTGGGGATATGGGTGCTCTTTATACTATTTTCCGTTTTGTTTCATAATAAGCTTGAAGTCATTTTTCAAGAGTTGCTCAACCTCCTTTAGAAACCAACCCATGGTGAAGCACAGCCAATTCTTGTGTGCTGCTAGGAAATGGCAGGCCTCTTGATGTGGGAGTAACTTCCGTTGTTGCCAGGCCGTTAGGGACAGCTCCCCAAGGCAGTTCACTACCTAGTATTGGCTTTTAACTGGGGATTACTGGCTGACATCTGTCTTCATTACATTCTTTGGAATTTAAAGGTTTAAGGACAGGCAAAGGCCTGCCTAGAATGTGACACACTTCTACCTGAGGTTCACCTGTCTGGAGACAATAACAATGAACAATTTTAAGAGTCAGCAAATACTTTAACCCTTAGGATAATCTGTTCCTTCACTCTTTGGGAGATAATACAACAATCAAAAGATAATCATGGTAAAGTAGGATGTTAATAGATGAAGTACTACAATAACCAGACTAACAGATGGCTTTGAGCTGCTCAAAGCTGGGTGACCCCACTTGCCAGTGCAGCAGCAGTGATGACCCAGGAAGGCAAGGACAGCAACAACACTGCCAGAGGTTGGAACATCTGCTTTCATCCTTGATGTTATCCTTCTCATAGTACTGCATTTTCACTGCTCCACATATTTCTTCCCGTAATTCACTAATTCTCTATTCAGTTGGGTTTATTTGGCCCGTTTATTGTACTTCTTGAATTTCTGTATTTCATGTTGTTCTAAATCCACCTAATCTTTTTTGATGCTGTCATGCCCAGTGCATCAAATTCTTTCCTCCCTAGACACATCTTCAAACTCTAGCATGCTGTTACCTGAGTTTCTAAGCTGTAGTCACCTGTTATACCTGTGGACTTGTTCCCATGGGAGTGTCTGGCCCTGTTTTTGATTCCAGCTCATCTTGGCTCTCCCAAGAGTGCTCCATGTGAGCTTGAGTCTACAGGTGTCCCTGTAGGATGACTTAGCTTTTGCTTTGGGGATTCACAGGTTCCAAACCATGTTAATAGTTCAGATGTACAAAAATATGAAAAATACAAGGCACTTATGGATCCCCCGTGTCCACCTCTGACTGCATCACTCTCCCTACCCACCTCCTTATAATAGCCCAGGGAACTGTCTTGAATGTAGCAATTAGCAATCCTGTACATTTCCGCTTTTACTATATTAAACTCTGAAATACGCATTATTTGGCTATAAATGTTTTCAAACATTGCATACCATATATGTATTCTTCTGACTTGCCTTCATTGTTAATCTGCACTGGTATGTCAGTCATACCAGTGTTGCACAATCACACACACCACTCCATGGTACTGTTTTAATATACCATAATTTACCCATTTTCCTGTTGGACATTTGGGTTTTCTTTTCCCATTACAAAAATATCACCAAGGACTTTTGTGTACATTAATCCTTATATACATGTTCGTTCACTGTGTTATTATGAGTTGAAGTACTGGGCTGAAGACAATATGCCCACTAGTAGGTATTATCAATCCCTTCTCCAAAGGGATCACGTAATGTTCCATTCCCACAAGCAATGTCCCAGTCATTAAGTTTAGCTCTTGGCTCGAGGATTTTATCACCCAAATTTCATCCAGATTCTGTAGGCACAAGGTCAGGTCTACTCCACAGACCAAGGCCAATGGCTGTGACCCCAGCCGACAGGCAAGAACTTCACTGCCTAACTATTGACAGAAGAGCACCCACTGGTTCTTAGCTTATGCCATATGGCTGCAGCAGTGAGGTGAGCAGATGAGGCCAGAGATAACAGAGCTGAGGGGAACTCATTGGACAGTCCTTGTAAAGACTTCAGCTTTTGCACAGTGAAATGGAAGCCACTGCATGACTCAAGCAGGGGAGGGAGACAAGACCCAAATCATGAGGAAGCTTCTGGCTGTTGGATTAGAATGGTTTAAGGGTGGAAGCCAGAACTGCTGGGAGGCTGTTGCAGTCATGTAAGCAGGCTGTCTAGGTGGGCTAGTGGTCTCCACCTGAGTGCAGTAGCAATGGTGTGAGATGACAGGCACTTTTATTTCTAAGGTATTGACAGCATTTGTTGACTGATTGGATAGTGTGTGACAACACGAGTCTAAAAGACTCAAAAGGGCTCTAGCATGAGCAACTGGCAAGGTGGAGGGGTTATCTGGAGGAGCTAACACATTGGGCTGGTTGCTATTCCAGGGTTAAGGCCTGGGAGCTGTCTTCAGTAGCTGAGATACAGGCCTGTCTACGCTCCAAGTCAACTAGTTAGGAGGAAAGACTGACAGAAGACTGGAAAGTTATTTCCATGCCAAGAAAAAAGTTCATGTAACATCTGCACCATAATTGTAGCTCAGTCTTATACACTGAACTTGGGGCTGGCATAAGAAGAAGGGTCTCCAACCAAGGGAGGACTTGGACAATACAAATAAGGGTAAAAGAATACAGATGAGACCCTAGGGTCAAGGTGAAGTTGGTCATCTAACAGCCATGTCAGGGATTTGGAAGGATGGGTGAGGTGCTGACTAGACCAAGTTAATGACTAAGCTATTTGGAATAACACAGTTGTAGCTATTACCTAAATAGGCCTTACTAAGTGCTAAGCAGTTTTACATACATTTACATGTATTTGTTAACTCATAAGCATATGTACTCTTACACATTTACAAATGAGAAAATTGTTAAAGTGGCTAAGTAACTTACCCCAAGTTAGCTATTAACTGCATAATCTGGCCCCAGAAACTCCACCAGTTCCGTGTCACCCTAGAAAAATGCACTTACAAACAGAAGCCTACTACACAGGGATAGCCATCAACCTTAAAAAATACACAGGTTTTAAGGTGTTTTTTTCAAGATAAAAATGGACAGAAATGTGTATGGAAGGGTGGAATCTAAATTTACAGGAAAATACATGAAAAAAAAGTTGCAGAATTACATGAATTAATCAGCATTTATCAAGTTCAAAAAGATACTAAATATATTGTTCAGGGATGCAGAGTAAAACTATAAAGAAAAGCCAGGGCGTTTAACAGCCACAGTCCAGCTAAGTGGTTTCCTCTGAGTGGGATGGAGAAGGAAACTGAATCAAAAGCAAGGTTTGCTTCAGTTACTGGTAACGTTCTAAAGTGGGGAACACTGGAGACAGTAATTTGAATCCGGATACTCCGTATCTCTGACCTTAAATTACTTAACCTCCTTGAACCTTCCTCTCCTTGCCTGTAAAGTGGGGCAAATAAATGTATGTCCAAAAACCAAAAATAATTATGTGCATGGGACCTTCAATCATAAAACAGTACACTCTTAGTGGCAACAATTCAGAAATCCAAGGAGGAAAAAGCCCAAGTCTCCTCCTACCCCCATTCCAGCCCAGTCCCAATTCCCTTTGCAAAAGTTAACTTGAACTGGTAACAGATTAGTTTGGTTTTTGTTATAAGAATAAACAGAAGTCCAACTGTAGAATTTTAAGAGTTCTAATACAAAATATTGTCTATTTTAATCCAAGTTTAGAGAACAAGTTCCTTTTAAACAGAGCTAATCCTCAAGTTTTGGGCCAAGGACTCAAATCCTAAATCGGAGAACAGCAATGCAAACAGGTGACCCTATCTTCTAGGAATACTACAAAAGGTAATTTCAAGGGGGGATAAATAGCAAAGGTGATTAAGGAAAATTAACACTGAAAAAAAATATTTGCTGATGAGTTCAAGTGGTGGGGACCAAGCTGGAAATGTTCAGTAGGAAAATAGATGAAGAAATGCATTTAAGTGAACAGGTACACAAAATTCTGCTCTAAGTATTACCACCTGGAGCAGTGATGGCAGGTACTGGAAAAACAGGTATCTTCAGACTGACACTGACACTGAGTAGACACTGGTACAACGTTATGAAAGCACTATGCATCAAGTTTTAAATGCCAAACTCCTTTGATTCTTGAAATTTTTTCTGGAAATGTATCTATAACACGTCAAATGGGTCTAAGTATCAACAATGGTACACAGAAACCTAAATGGCTCCTACCAGAAACTGGGAAATTTATAGTAGTCTTATAGCAGCATAAATCTGTACATGCTGGTGGGGAACCACCTTTGGGACAGTGACCAAAAAAAAAAAAAAAAAGAGTATGGATATGCCACCCCCATCCTTATCTTTTTTGTTGTGAAATACACATAAAACTTCACCATTTTTAATACAGTTCAGTGGGTAAATACATGAATACTGGACAATCGTTACCACCACTTACTTTTCATCATGTAAAACTGAAATTTTATACCCCTCAACTCCCTATTCCCTAGCAACTACCAGTATCACATTAAAAAAATTTATCTGGATGACGTTTTCACTGATCCATCAAAAGACAAATTAGATTCCTGTTACTGTTCAGGTTTACGTCATAGAAACTTAAAGAGGCACAGCTATCCACTATGACAATGTTACTTTTCACGTCTCTAAACCTTTTGTACAATCTTGTTTTCACCCAGACCAATCTGTATTTTTACTTGCTTTATAAGATATTTCATTGGAATCCTTTTGACAAAATCAAGTCTTGTGGTTCTAGGCAGTTTTTCCCCCAGGAAATTGACGTTGCGCACACAGGTTAATGCACGAAAGACTTAAGACTCCTAGATCTGCTCATCAGAGTACATCCTTTGTGTCAGGAAAATCCTGAAATTTCATAAAAGGAATATGTATTAAAACCATGCAGACAACTGGAATCAAAACATTCATCTGGGTAGGCAGGGGATGCACAGGAGTGGTTCAGGTGGTTTCCAAGATCCTCAGAGAAATGCTCAGAGACTCTAGTCCAAACAGGTCATCATTACCACTCTGGGGCTAAGAAAAACTGTAAGACTCACTATAGTAAGCCAGGGAGAAGGGGCGTGGCTCTTCACTTTTGTCAGAGCCAGTAGATGTGGCGGGAACCATCACCTAGGCAATTCAGCCATCTCAGCAGCAATTCTCCAAGGACAAACACAAACCTTTAGCCCTTCAGTTGCCAGGTTAGAGCCCCATCTCTGAAGGGGCACTGCCCCTGGCTGGGCTTTCCGAGCTCTCATGCTAGAAAAATGAAAACAGGACAGCCAGTTAGAAGGACAAGCTGAGGTACAGTGATCCTGCTATTGGAGCTTCTCACAGACGAAGCATCCAGTTCCCCAAATGAATCAGAACTTAATTTTTGCCATCAGGACCAACGTCAGAGACTCTAGTCTGAAAAATCATCACTCCCAATTTAGGGAAACCTGGATCAAGAAAACCTATTTAGTACATTCAAAAACAATGTCCCCAACGTAAGGATACAGCAAACAGTTCAGAGATAAGAAATTTGGGAGAGGTAAGTGGGTAGAAAACTGCAGAAAATATCTCCACTGGGGAGGTCCAGCACATCAGTAATTTTACAGTAGGAAAATGGGGTGTAAGCAAGTTTCAACCAGGCTTAGACAAATATGGGGAGTTCCAAGGTTTATAAAAAAGTCACGAGAAACATAAACCAGAAAGTGGTCCTTGGAAAATCACCAAGTTAACTGTTTGCATTATTCCACGTGTTCATTAAAAACACACGCATATCTCTGAGAGACAACTAACACTCACCTTTATCCAAGGTAACACACCAGTGGACGTCTTTAAACCCTTAATAGAAACACGAGACACAGGAACAAACCATTACTACGTGTTTCTGGTCATCAACTTCTCCCTGAGCCCAGGTACTAGGAAGCCCCGCCCGAGGTGGGGGAGAGGTGCTCAGCGCGCTGCGGTGATGGCGTCAGCGAAGACACTCAGAGTCACCTGGGGTCATCATCACCCCCCGTCCTTCCCCAGGGCGACCACCATCCACTCCACCTCGCACTATCTACTCACCCTCGTGGTGCTGTGGACCTGTCTGCGGAGAACAGGGACCTGGGAAAAAACCAGTTATTCGGGAGAAGCCGGGGCGACTCCAGCGGAGCCCCGCCGGTCCCGGGCTGGGTCAGTTCCAAGCAGTGGCGTCACAGACACATCAGAAACTCTAGTCTGTAGTGGTAGTTCATCCTGCTCAGCCCGAGACTGAGGTCTCCTCACCCAGCAGGGCCCCGAGGTACCTGTATGCATGCAGCTGTGCAAAGCTGACGCAGGGCCTTTTCCTCTGGGTAGAGGAAGGTTTTGCGGCAGCAGTCGCCAGACACACTACAAGACACCACAGCCTACCGCAACTTCACCGCACAAAGAGAACAGCACCTGCGCGCCAGGGTTATTTAAAGCAGCGTGTGGTCGGGGGCCTGATGGGAATGGCTGTCTTCTTGGATGCCTGGCCCAACCCGCTGTTTTCGCCCCATCATTCGTCCAAAAAGGAATCAGCCAAAGGGAAAGAGAGGACATGAGTGAATGTTTCACACTCTTTTGGACACATATTCTGGAATTTTTTGTGAATTTTGAAAAACGAATAGGTGACCGAGTTGGCTAGGCCTTAGAAAGTCCCCGGCGCTGCCAGACGCGTGCGCAGTGAGCGATCTTGTGGCCTCCCCTCTGGCGTTAGTACGCCGTGGACTCTTCCTATTTCTTCACCCGTCCTTCCTTGGAGGCCAGGTCACCCCGAGAGACTGTCACCCCACTCCACCTAGTCATTGAAATCTGAACTCGCAACCCACTGGAGCCCGGGGACCTGTCATTAACCTTAATGTCTTCTTTTAAAAACAACTTTATTACGGTGTAGTTGACAAACAATAAACCGATATTTAAATACACAATTGTTTCGATTTTAAAAACCGATCTAACCTTTTGTAACTGTACAATTCAGTAAAGTATATTCACATAGTTGTGCAGCCGGTCTCCAGAATTTACTCATTTTGCAAAACAACTTAGCCGTTAACTCTTCCCATTTCCCCATTCTTCTTGTCTTTTTTGAGCACTGTGTGGCCTGGGAGTTGGCCGGAAACGATGGAATTGTGCTACTACACTCTGAGTAGCCCTGTATCTCAGGGAGGTTGGAAGCAAATTGGGGTAGGATGGCAACAGCCAACCCCTGTTCCCCTTTCCCAAGTTTTCCCTCCCTCAAAATCTAGTAATTTGTTCTTGGCCATTACTGGATCAACTCAAATATTAATCCAAATCCCACCTTCCTGGGCCCTTCTGTACCCCCTCATTTATAAATGCAGATAGTATTTGGCAATATATGTTGGCATCTTCATCTTCTGTGAGAAACCCATATAAAACATAATTGGGGGTGTCAAATCATACAAAATCAGTCTTCTAATTGAGTCACATAATTTAGATAAGCTTGAGCTTACAGTAAAATTTAGAAGGCCGTTGGGGTGCAGGAAATATACCCTTTTACTTTCTTCTCCTGAAATTATCTACCTGCCCTCCCTTCTCCCGAGGTTTCAGCTTCCCATCAAAATAGCTCTTCCAAGAATCTTACAGTATTCATGTCTGTTCAATACATTTCCCAGCTCCCAGGAGCTGAGCTTCACCTGTGGTTGATGTTGCAAAGTGATTCTACTTTAAGTTCTGAGATGTGTACCTATACAGGTAACAGATGACATTCTGATGCTGCTTCCTAATGAAGCATTTCCCTCATGAGGGAGTCATGAATTAACTACACCAGCATCAGGAATTCCTTTTTGGCCCCTTACACTGTTGCTGGGGGGTTCCCTAACCTCTATTGTTGCTGCTGCAGCCGGTGCATCAACACCTTAAGACCTTTCAAGCCTCTGATTCACAGCATAAAGTCCCTTAACACAAGTCAGTTTGTGGAAGTAGTGACACCTTCCTGTACTCCCTCTCTCCCATGACCCTATCTAAAAATATAATCAGGAGTAGCCTCCAGGGCAGGGTTTTTTTCTCAACTTTGGCAGCACATTAGGAATACCCAGGTAGCTTTAATTCTGCACAATGCCTTAACCCACTCCCCAAGATTGTTGACTCCTGGAGGGCAGCCTGACATCAGTATTTTTTTAGCTTATCCAAATGACTTTAATATACCACTAGGTTGGGGAACCATGGCTCCAACGGCTTGAACTTTAATACTTACTCCCTCTACTGCCTGGCAAGCTTAAAAAATTTTTTAAGGTAAGAAAGCCCCCAGTTCCTGTTGCAAGAGTTAAATTGCATTTACAATATGCTCTGATCAGAGGTGGTAACACCATCACTCAGAGTAAAACAGGAGGGGCAGGAACTGAAGAATCCTTACCATACTCCTTCACAAGCTTCCAAGGAGCTATATATTTCCTACATACTGTGTCATTCCTAAAATGTTTAATTTCTCTAAATGGTGAGCATTTTTGGAAAAATCTACCATATTACTTTAATTTTGGATTAGGTATTTTCAGGCTCAGCTTTTCAGAGGAATGAGGTTGGAATTCCATCATGCAAGAGGAAGTGTTAGTGGTATCTAACTGCTGTGGCAGGAAGAACTCCTCTAGGGCAGGGCTTTTGTGGGAAAGCCCATTTCCCTGATGTTCCCAGCTCAATGCTGTACAACTTCAATTATGAAGAGGAGGTAAATTTGCTATTACTTTAAATATAGTTTTGAGATTGTCCATAAAAAGACAAAGCTACTGGTTAACAGAACTGGGGTACAACTGTCAGACAGGAACCCACTGCTAACAGTGTTCAGGCAATGTGGAAGAAATCCCGGTTCCCAAACTATCACTTGTTACTCTAATTTTGCCCTACATGTAATTGAAATGACCACCTCCACATACTGACCCACAAAAAAAGCATTAAAATATCTGACAAAGCAGGTGGTGGGATGGATTGAGGATTATTGGGGTGACACAAAGAGCATGGTACAGTACCTGGCCCCTCCCTCTATCACCATGTTCCCACCCCTGACCTCTCCATATCTCCCTCCTTCAGAATTTCACTTGACTGATGGCACTTAGGAAGACATGACTTAAAATACTTGCCTACAACACATTTCCCTTGAAATGTAAACTTTGGAAATGAAGCCATTCAATATGCTTTGCAAGAAGGAAGCAAGCAAAAAAAGTAAGCTTAAACAATTTTTTCACTTGGTCACCCAACTGTTGAACCAGACTGTGAATGCACCTCAATTTTGCTTTCTTCCATCCCCAAATTCACTTATAACTTAGGTAAAAGGCTGGAGGACTCACAGGCCAGAAGTGAGAACTGAAAGGCTCTGTACAAGCCAAGTGCAGTATAGATTAGGAAGCATGAACCCCCTCCTCCCTCCCAACAGTAAGGCAAACCTACATCAACTTCTCCCAAAAACCTTTGGGCAGCTCCTGCTCCGACTTCTCTCTAGAACAAGACCCTTCTTACTCAAAACAGGCATCCAGAGTATTTTGTTTTCTAACCCACATGTCATTTACCACTTACAATTAAATTCCAACAAAAATAACCAGAGGCTTGACATTGAATGCATACCTAACCTAATTCAGGAGTACTGTCCCTTTCCCACGTCTATGGAACCCAGACATTCCAGCAAGAGTCCATTATCGCTCCTCAAATGAAAATACACTCAGTTTTAACATTTTTAACACTTTATTTTTTCTTTTGAGGTATACAAATTTTTTAAAAACCGACTTTTTGGTGTGTTTACAAGGCAATAACAGAACAGAGGGTGGCAGTGTTGATTCATTAAAAAAAAACACCTTTAGTATCAATTCAGAATTCCAATAAACACACTGGTTATGCCACAAATAATGAAAACAAGGTAATTATCACATTACAATCTAACTTCAGAATTAACTGACAGTAGATAACAGAAAATACAGAAGTATCTGGGACAAGAAAAATCTTTGGGTATTTCCTATCAGAGAATCGTTAAAAATGAAGGCCCCTGTGCCCCTAATCAACCTCCTCAATGGTGGGGCCAGACCCGGAACCTCCCTTGGGGGCCTGAGCCCCAAAACCGCCAGGGCCGGGGCCACCCGCCCCCTGGTACAGTCCGCTGATGATGGGGTTACACACCTGCTCCAGCTCTTTCCTCTTGTGCTCAAACTCGTCCTTCTCGGCCAGGCTGTTGGCGTCCAGCCACGAAATCACCTCCTGGCACTTGTCCAGCACCACCTTCTTGTCCGCCTCGCTGATCTTGCCTTTGAGGCCCTCATCCTCCACGGCGCTCTTCATGTTGAAGGCGTACGACTCCAGGGCGTTCTTGGCAGACACCCGCTCGCGCTGGACCTCGTCTTCGGCTTTGTACTTCTCCGCCTCCTGCACCATGCGCTCGATCTCCTCCTTGCTCAGCCGGCCCTTGTCGTTGGTGATGGTGATCTTGTTGGCCTTGCCTGTGCTCTTGTCTGTGGCCGTGACGTTCAGAATGCCATTGGCGTCGATGTCAAAGGTCACCTCGATCTGGGGCACGCCCCTGGGAGCCGGTGGGATGCCGCTCAGCTCGAAGCGCCCCAACAGGTTGTTGTCCAGCGTCATGGCCCTCTCACCCTCGTACACCTGGATCAGCACCCCAGGCTGGTTGTCCGAGTAGGTGGTGAAGATCTGCGTCTGCTTGGTGGGGATGGTGGAGTTGCGCTTGATCAGGGCGGTCATCACGCCCCCAGCCGTCTCCAGCCCCAGAGACAGGGGAGCCACGTCCAGCAGCAGCAGGTCCTGCACGTTCTCCGACTTGTCACCCATCAGGATGGCCGCCTGCACCGCCGCCCCATAGGCCACCGCCTCGTCAGGGTTGATACTCTTGTTGAGGTCGCGCCCATTGAAGAAGTCCTGCAACAGCTTCTGCACCTTGGGGATGCGGGTGGAGCCCCCCACCAGGACCAGGTCGTGGATCTGCGCCTTGTCCAGTTTGGCGTCGCGTAGGGCCTTCTCCACGGGCTCCAGTGTGCTCCGGAACAGGTCCGAGCACAGCTCCTCGAACCGCGCCCGGGTGATGGACGTGTAGAAGTCGATGCCCTCGAACAAGGAGTCGATCTCCAGGCTGGCCTGGGTGCTGGACGACAGGGTCCTCTTGGCTCTCTCGCAGGCCGTGCGCAGCCGCCTCACGGCCCGCTTGTTCTGGCTTATGTCTTTCTTGTGCTTCCTCTTGAACTCTTCCACGAAGTGGTTCACCAGCCTGTTGTCGAAGTCCTCCCCACCGAGGTGAGTGTCCCCGGCCGTGGCCTTCACCTCAAAGATGCCGTCGTCGATGGTCAGGATGGACACGTCGAAGGTGCCCCCGCCCAGGTCAAAGATGAGTACGTTGCGCTCCCCCTTGCCGGTCCTGTCCAGGCCGTAGGCGATGGCGGCGGCCGTGGGCTCGTTTATGATCCTCAGCACGTTCAGCCCTGCGATCACCCCCGCATCCTTCGTGGCCTGGCGCTGCGAGTCGTTGAAGTAGGCCGGCACGGTGATCACCGCGTTGGTCACCGGGTGGCCCAGGTACGCCTCGGCGATCTCCTTCATCTTGGTCAGCACCATGGACGAGATCTCCTCGGGATAGAACGCCTTGGTCTCCCCCTTGTAGCTCACTTGCACCTTCGGCTTGTCTCCGTCGTTCACCACCAGGAAAGGCCAGTGCTTCATGTCCGACTGCACCACGGGGTCACCGAACTTGCGGCCGATCAGTCGCTTCGCGTCGAACACGGTGTTCTGCGGGTTCAGCGCCACCTGGTTCTTGGCCGCGTCTCCGATCAGCCGCTCGGTGTCGGTGAACGCTACGTAGCTGGGGGTGGTGCGGTTACCCTGATCGTTGGCGATGATCTCCACCTTGCCGTGCTGGAACACCCCCACGCACGAGTAGGTGGTGCCCAGGTCGATGCCGATGGCCGTGGACTTAGCCATGTTGTCCTGCTCTCGCTCTGCGCTGAGGCTCAGGTCGGCAAACGGCGGACGGGATCTGGGGTCAAAAAAGAGCTCGGTCCCGTCTGAAGCCGGAAACTGAAAGCGCGAGAGCCCAAAGGTATTGAGTCTGCGAAAATTGCGCTCCCGATCCACTGCGCAGACTGTCCGGTTCTTCGGGACGGCTGTTTCTCCAAGCCGCGGAGGCTCTGTATTTATCATGCCCCGGCGAGCCCCTCCTTTTCCTCTCAGCCAATCATCGAGCTCGGAGAGGCCGCTGGGTCCGGAATTTTCTAGGGGTTTCTCTTCGCGTCCTTCCCTCGGGCTTGCGGGGACCAATCAGCGTCCTGGGTGCCGCCTCTCCCAGATCTCTCCAGACTCTTCTGGGATTCCGGAGAAGGGACCAGAGTCCGAAGGGGAAGGGGGAAGAGGCGTTGTCGTGGGTGGTCGTTGACTCAGCTCACTCAGGCTGTTCCCTTGGCGGTTTGTCAGCCGCAGAGCAGTTTGAAATTGACAGAAAGTGTGACCGCAAGGTTTCTAATTGTAGGGTGGTGAGTCGCTCGCGAGGCTCAAACTAGTTTGGTGGTTTCATGTAGGAATAAGGGCTGCTCGGCTCCAGGGACACCCCAAATCCGGAACGTTCCCGAGTGTCTCAGAGGGGCGGGCTAGCTGTGTGCCACAGAGTGACTGGACAGAGGCGCTCACGGACGGTCATTGATGGCCTGGGCTGCCTGAGGATTGCCTTGGCCATCCGCGGCGTTTTTCCCATCTTAGATTTAAACTGGGAAAAAGAAGGAAAGGAATAATGCAATATAGTTTTTGACATCATATTTGACCTACACGGATGGAATATCTGGGGATGGAGGATTTGAATTTTTAAGCAGAAACAATCAGGTAAACAAGACTATTCTTAAAAGGACAGTCCCCAACGCCAGAGCAGGAAAGTGCTCAGTCATGGGTGGGGGATGGGAAGGGTAGGGTTAACTAAACTCGCCCCTCCTTTTTGCCTCAGGCTGGATTCGGGTGTGAGGAGGAAGAATTAAGGCCGTTTGAGCCTCTCCCTTTCCCTCTTCCTTCCCAGCCTAGGATCTGGGCCACCCTGCTTCCTTTCAGCCTCCTGAATTGCCGTTTCAGCCTCAGGTGGTGGGTAGGACCAGGGGTAACGTCAGAGACCCGAACTCCTCTTCTGCCCTGTCCTTGGAGCCCCTTGACTGTCCACCACTTTGAAAAGAAATACAGTGGATGATGAGCTTGGGAGGGAGGGGCGGGAATGTTCAGCCCCCTTTGACAGCAGCCTCTGCCACAGCAGCTCTTTGGCTTGTGGCCCATTTTAAGCAAATTGATTGGGTAGAGGATTTAAAGTGGGAGGATTCAGCTCTAAAACTAAGGTTATTTGCCTTGCACTTAATTCACTCGCCTACTTTTTTTATCCTAGATTCCAACTCCCCTCAGTTTTAAATACAATTACATTTGGTAATTTATTTTGGCCTTTCGGTCTTCATTCTTTGTGGGCATGCAAGACCCCGTGTTAGGTGTCTGAAATAAAAATGTGAGGGACCTTAAAGCAGTAGGATGGGGTTTACAGCCCACAAGAAAACAGACTCATCACTATACCCAGATGTTTTGAGCACAGAAAACGCAATTTTTTATGAAGGAAAGGAATTTTGCTTTTGAACACTTGCTCAAATTGGCATTCTTTACACACACACACACACACACATGGGCACGCACACCTGTCTACCATCAAAACACATCTTCCTGGAATCCGAGGGCAGTTTATAATTTGTTTAGACTGATCTAAACTGATGTTGCAAAAATATTGCCTTAACAATCGTGTGTGTGTGTGTGTGTGTGTGTGTGTGCAGGTAGGTGATAACTTTTTTACAGTCAGATGTCACTCCCTTATGAATCACCTCCTTAAGCTAGTCAAACTGGTCAACCTTCAGTAAGTTTCCATTCCCTATGTAATCTGGCTGGGGATTCCCCAAACGTCCACCTTAGTTGCCCAGTGCATCAGCACTTTTAGAGACCCTCAGCCTCACCCGCACCCTCTGGAAGTTTCTTCACCATCAGCTGCTACTGGGAGCAGTTCTAGATTCACTGCTTCCTTCTCTCCAAGTCTGCTATTCAGAATACTTCTAACTGGATTGAAGCGAAGGGCATCCTGTCTTCATTGCCTGGCAGGTAGACATGGTGATTTTGCCTGCTTGGGTTGCAGAGAAAGGTCCACCAAAAATACTGTTTTACATGAATCGACTATAGTTGACCTACCTTTTGAGTTAAATCTCACTTTCTGAGACAGGGACCATGGGCTTAGACAGAGTAGGGTGAGAGCCTCCGGAAAAGAACAAAGCAAGATAATCAAACCATTGTGAGATTTGCTTTAGCCGGCTAGGGAGCCCGCCTTGTTTTATGACTTTACCCAGGTGCTGCTTTTCTTCCTCCAGCCCTAAAGAAATTATTTGCAACCTGGGCAATGTAGCAAGCAAGCCCAAAACAATGTAGTAAAAACAGGAAGGATGCCATCTTGAAAATAAGATTGCATTTAAAAACCCTATTTGTTAAAAGGTAACTTTACTAACATACTCTTTATGTTAGTAAACTCAGCCCAGCTTGGGAGCAAAGTAGGCAGTCTTGAGTGATATGCTCCCAGACCAGGAAGCTGCTATCCTGGGAGGAAAGTCAGAGCAGTAAAATTCTTGTAAATAACCAGGAAGACTAATAAGAAACTTAGTGTTTCTTCAAAGGTAAACATTTTAGGACCACTTAGCAGGTGTACATCCCTAGCCCTTTGTCTCTCTATTGCCTATAAAACCCCTAGACAACACACCACCCCGTGGTGACTCTCTTGTCCCCTCCTGGCTTGAGGTAGGAGCTCTGTCCTCTGGCTTTCTCTCTAAATAAAAACCTCTGCCTTGCTCTCCTACCTTGACTATTTGGGAAGTTAATTCTTGGGCTCCGCGATCAAGAACCCTGGCATCATGAGCTGGCCTGGAAACCTAAACATCTATATTCCTTTTCCATTTCCTGAGAAGGAGAAGATCTCCTGAATTTTGTCTTTCCTTTTACACTGGACACTTTTATTA